TGAATACATATATTCATATTATATACACATTCTTTCACTGAAGTCCTTTCCATTAATTCTCTTTTATTTCCTGTCCCACCAAATTCCATCTTCTTCTTTTCTACTTTTATGGCTTTGTGTGTGTGTGTGTGTGTGTGTGTGTGTGTGTGTGTTGCGCATGTGTGCTCACATGTGCTCAAGCCTCTGAGTTTAATTAAGGCAGCCTATATAAGTGTGGTTGGGAGATTATTTCATTGAGTAGAGGCAATGTCCAGTGGCTATAGCACCAAGGCTTTGACTCCCTTTCCCTGCAATCTTTAGCTATTAGTAGCTCCTTTGTGAGGGATGGGGCCTTACGAGCCCTTCCCCCTTCCATGATGGAATGTTGATGATCCCGAGTTGTACAAGTGGGTGCTGTTTCCATTGACATCTTCAAACTTTGCCATTACAATGGCAGCTCTCCATAGTCCAGAGCTGGGACTGCTGAAGATTTAACAAAGCATCTTGGCATCCTCACAGAGTGCTGCTGTCATCTAACCTCCCAGGGTAAAGCTGTGGCATGGAAGGAGCAAGAGACCTGGCTTCTGAGTTCTGCTCTCTGCTTGTTATAGGATGTTGGCAAGTGATTATCCTTAGCTCTTGGTTTCCTTATCTATAACATAAGATGATGACCACTTAACCTCGAAGGGCTAAGTGCCTTCAAATGACATGTGTGAAGCATGCAGCATGGATTCATGTCCAGCTCACAACATGAAACTCTGTGCACCCCCTCCCATTATTACCGCCCTTGTATTTGATCGTGTCTCTGAGCTGCTGCTGAGGGCACCGTGGCTCCAGCAGCCACCAAATCTTCTAAGCAGCTGAGCCCATCCTGCACCAGAGGAGTCTCAGAGGAGGACTATGATATAGAATAGTAAGGAATGCACAGGCTTTCCTTACTAACCCCTTTGACCCGGATTATGAACACGCTCCCTACACATCAGAGCTGGGGAGGCCCCAGGCTCGGGCTATGTATAGATAGTCTATCACAGACAATGAGGTCCAAAGAGAATGCCTTCCATGGCTTATACCCGCTGGTCTGCCCCAGGGCCTGGAGTCTGCTCTCAGCTCCTACCTGTTCCAGAGAAGAAGCACGTGGACCCAGCTGAAATCTGGGCACAGAGGACTAGCTAATGACTTCCTCATGCTCAGAAAAGAGGAGCAGGAAAGGAGTGTGAGGCAAACCAAACAGTATTCAAGTGTGGACCATGGCAAACAACTCATTAGAAACTCCAGGCAGAGGCAGGTGGACCTCCAGGTTCAAGGCTAAGCCAGTCTACAGAACAAATCCCAGGACAACCAAGGCAATGGAGAAAGATCCTGGTTTAAAAAAAAAAAAAGACATGAAAAAAGAAAGCCTAGGCTAAACAGATTAGGCACAAAACAGCATGTAGATAAAAAGACATCCTGACCCTAGGTGAGGTGTGGATAATCAAAACATACCACGAGCAAGATCTTTTGCTCCAAGGCTCCTAACTACAACAAGTTTGCTGAAGCTTAGTGGGGGAACACATAGCTCAGAACAATGAAGAAGTAAAGACCCAAAATCAGGTATACTTTTATCCAAATACCATCTCTACTGAGGCACATAACAGCACATATGTGCACTCTTGTCATTTAGAGTGACTTTTAGAAAGAATAACAACGGGATTGACATTCTACTACCCTACCAGGTTTCCAGGGAATTAACTCACAGAGGCGAGACTTATTTTGGCCCTCAGCCTCAAATTCTTCAGTCTATGGTTGACTTGACCTGATAAGGAAGCATATCTTGGTGGGAGGCATATAGCAAGCAAGACCACTTATCTCTCGGCTGAGAAGCTGAAGGGGAAGAGAAGCAGGCCCGGATTCCAGAGTTCTTCTGAGTCAACTGACCTAAAGACTAAGGCCCACCCCTTACGGCTCCTCCTGCTCCCAACAGCACCAGTCTGACCACCAGGCCACTGCCACATGGGCCTTTGGGTACACAATAGGGTCTACCATGAACTGTAGGGACTGAGTCCTGGGAAAGCAATGCAGGAAAACCCCTTCCAAAGAACAAATCAAGAGGACACTTTACTACAGAAGGGGAGGTTTCAGTCCAAGACTGATAACAACTTATTTTTTGGTAGTGGGATGAGCTTTACCTGTTTATTCATAATTTCATTTTCCTTTCAGAGACTGTTTTTATAGAGAGAAAAAAATCAATGAATGAATATTTTGTTGAACCACACACTAGATCTTATGTTTATAAGAATATAACCAAGTACACATTTGATGGAATTCTCCTGGTACTGGATAATGTTTTAAATAATTTCTTTTTTAACTTTTTTTATATTGGTGTTCTGCCTCCATGTATGTCTATGTGAAGGTTGGGTCCCTGGAACTGGAATTATAGACTGTTGTGAGCTGTCATGTGGGTACTGGGATTTAAACCTGGGTACTTTAGAAGAGCAGCAGGTGCTCTTAACCATTGAGCTATCTCTCCAGCCCTCTTAAATAAGTTCTTAATGTAAAGATGATCTGGAAGACAAGTTAGAGGGCAGAAAACACCCCAGAGGTCTGAACAAGTAGGCAGAGTACCAGGTATGGAAACTGGGTTGCCCCTTAGGGCATATCTCTGCCAGCCTGGAGCTTGGGTCCCATGTTTGGAGAAGGGAGTTGAAATCTAGAATCTAAATAGTGAAGGAGTTAAGGAGTTAGACCAGAGATGCCCATGTAGACCCCTGAGGGATCACAGCTTTAGTGGTGACCTGGAGAAGACATACCCATGGTGCACAATGAATGAACACTTACCAGGCATGTTCTGGCCCTGGAACAAGAAGGGATGTCTACCTCCTTTAAGAATCAATAAACCCCTCTTCGTGAGAGTTTGGGAATCAGAATTCAAATTGTATGTGCATCTTGAGAAACAGGACATTTATGGTTCAGTCACTGGTATTTCCAGCAATATGACCGATGGGACCAATCCTATCTGGAACTCAGACAATCTAAACCAGTGATGCTCCAAGGAAGACAGGTCTGAAATGGAAAGGAAAGAGTTTCTTTCAACCCTCAGGAGAGCAGGCCAAATGAGGAAGACTAAGGGAAAATACCAAAGCTGAGAATCAGCTGCACAATGGCTATGAAAATTAAAATTATTGCATACAGACCACTGAATAAATACACTTAATGTCTTTAAAGGAATGAAAAAAAATAAAATCAGGTTGTCAAGCTTATAAAAACATAAAAGCAAAACAAGCTGACAACAAAAATACCCAGATAAGTCAGATCTTATAAAAAACAATCAGACCTTTAGAAATAAAAACTAGTATTATTGAAATAGAAGTTCAGGGGACAGACAAATTAACTTATTAGACCAAGTGAGGAGAAATCAAAGAACACATTGCAGAAGTTACTAAGAATCTCATGAAAACAGTAAATGGGAAAGGAAGTACCCTCAGCAAGGGGCCACAACAGAGGGGCAAAGAACGACGGCAGAAGACTTCAGAAGAAGGAAGGATGAGAATCTTCCATTGAAACTTAGAAATAAATGGCAAATGATCAGAAAGCCCACAGAGTCCCAAGAAAATATAATAAAAGAATATAAATAAATGAACGGGGATTGTGACTCAGTCTGCCTGCTGAGGCAGGAGGATTTCTGTGAATTGAGGGCTGCTTTGGTGTAAGTAGTGAGTTCCAATTGAGCTTGGGTTACAATGTAAGACCCTGTCTCAAAGTAAGTTAATTAACTGATTAAGTTAACTAGCCACAAGTAGAAACATTAGAAAGAGCAAGGTACGAAAATACCAAAAGACACAGAAGGACAGCATGCATGGCAGCGGAGGGAGAATTAGACAGCCAGGTCACTTGAACCGTGACAACAGAATCCAGCAGGAGTAGCTTCAAATGCTCAGAGAAGTGACATAGAATCATATTTCCCACAAACTCATCTTACTGAAGACTCTTAGAGACTCAGAGCAACAGATGCCTTCACTGAGGGCAAGAGGCCCTGGTTAGACACTGACTTCAGGGTCACTGTGCTGCAAAGAGTGGCTGTTCTGGAATCACCCCCCCCCATGCCAAGTGCATGAACATGGGCTCTTCAAAGCACCTATTGGCTTCTGTTTCTCACCCTGTAACATGAAGAATCTTGTCTACATTTGTGCTATAGACAGTTGTCTATAGACCCAAACAAGGTCCAATATAAAAGCCATAGTGGGGTTTCAAATCCCTACTCATTTACCCAAGAGATACTGAGTGTCTGAGGTGCACCTTACCCAGAAGCAGCTCAGGATGAACAATGCACAACCCCAAATCTCAGGTTATTCGATCTAGTGGCAGTGGTTTCGAGGAAGGAGAAAACAGAGGGGAAAAAATAGTGGAGATATAGCGCAAGTAAGGAGAGCATGGTTTGTGTCAGGGAGAAGCGACAGCTTGCCTTCCCCCTTTGTCTTCATGATTGTGTTTCCATGAACATAGGACTTTAGTTAAAAGCAAAACCTTTAAACAGTTAGCCCCTCCCCATCCCGACTGTAACTTTTCTCTCACCTGCATCCTCACGTGGAGAGGTTTGTAAGGATCTGATCTTGAGAGGGGTTTGTTTATTTCTGGTTTGTGTGTGAGCTCACCCCCTCTCCCGCCCACTTCCTCTCTGACTGCACCTTACCTTACAGAGCAGCTCTGCTGAGACCCTTTCTGCTCCACTGTGAGCTCCCATTAGGAAGGAAACACGGTGATGTTTGTTTTGCATCCCCTTATGTGACAGTGCTTGCCACATAAGCCACCAATTTCTCTGTCTGTGTAATAAAGACACTAAGTGCCTTTGGTTCTGTTCAGACATTTGGCAGGAAGTGGACTCTGGGTCCTTCCTTCCCACTCCCGCTCCAGCCCCTCTGGGCGTGCAGACCGGGCCCCTGTGGATGACCTCTGAGCCACTCCATAGGATCTCAGTAGAACTTACTTTAACTGTCTCATCCAAAGCAGCCTGCCAAAAAAGAGTTCCTTGTGCTTTCTGATTTCAGCTTTCCAGATATCTATATGGACAGAAAACACAGAATTCCTCCAGTTTCTGACAGAATGTCTTCATGGAAGCATAAGGGTTCCTCGCTTCCCATAGTCAGGTACTGACTAGTCAAGTGCACATAGTGGGGCTACTGGTCTCTTTACTGACATTGCTTCCTTCATCAGGACGTGGAACAGGGAACTGGACAGGGAACATAGCAAAAGGCCATGAAAGCCATCCCCACATAAGCCATGGGCGGTAGCAAAACTCTTGTAATCCCAGCACTTAGGAGGCTAGCCTAGGCTACGTATACCTCCAGACAAACAACTCCCCAATTCATCCTTGGTGTAGGCAGAGAAATGTGAACATGGAAGAAAAGGAAAGGCCTGGATAAGAATTCCTGTTCACCCATTTTCCTGATGTGTGACTTTGGATCCTCAGGTTCACCATTTATGCTAAATGTCTGTCTGTCTGTCTGTCTGTCTGTCTGTCTCTCTCTCTCTCTCTCTCTCTCTCTTCTCTCTCTCTCTCTCTCTCTCTCTCTCTCTCTCACACACACACACACACACACACACACACACACACACGAGGAAGGATGGAACAGGAAGGCTGGGAAGCAAGCAGCATGCTAAAGATTCCTCCAATATTTTACCATGAGCCAAATGCTGAATATTGTGCCCCTTTTGTTTCTTCTTTTGGGGATCTTTTTGATATTTTTTTACTTGAGCACATATTGACTTTATAATTAGGAAGATAGAAAATAAGCCTGAAAGAATAAAATAGAGGGGAAAAAATGCACGTTAAGAAGCAGGAGTAAGTTGGCACTGTGTAAATGGTAGCTATTTTTACTAATTAGTCATTATGCCTAATAATAATAATTAGGAGTAATGATTCCCTCTGGGATGAACTTGTGCATTCATCGCTTGGAGGCTGGAGAAGACTCATGGCTCCCTTGCCAAGAGACAAGGACCAGATTCCTTTCCCAATCAGGCCACCCCTTACCTGCCTTCCTGCCTTCCACAAGCCCAGCTCCTAGCTCAGCTTCACCCCGTCGTTGGCTCTGCCCATCCACCCACTAAGTCTACAGTGTGTACAGAGCTCCTGTGCCCACACAGATGACCATCACTTCTAGGGAGACAAAGGTGTCCCTCCTCCATGGAGCCTGGCAGAGACTGAGGCAGATTGCTGTCACCCCTCTGCTGATGGTTTTTATTTCCCTAGAGGAGAGTGAGTGCAAGAGAGCTGGGGTCTCATCTGCTTCCTCTGTGTGGGAGGTAGAGAAGATACTCCACCCACCGGGACTCTAACATCTGAAACCACCTGGATGCTGCTGACTGGAAAGAATTCAGGTTCCACTGAGTTTCTCTTCAGTGGTTCTATCAGCCAGGACAAGAATTTAGACTAAAGCTCCAGCCTCCTTTAGGTCCCCACGAGAGAGAAGAGAGACTCTGTATGAAGGAAAGAGTGAAATTCCTCTAAAGTTTTGTGATATGGACAAGTCAGTCAGTCTCTCTGAACTGTGTTTTCAGGCATAAAAAGACAAGCAGTGGGCAGAGCTGGATCCCCAGGTCCTCGGATGTTCTTAGCCTCGCGACGTGGTATAAATAGAGTGGACTCTGGGAAGAGGGTGGACGTGGATGCTTTCTGTGCTCCTGGGGCATGCTGCCAAAATGTGATGGATTAGAAAAGAAAGGACAGGAACTCTCTCTGGGGCTGACACCGATGGGTCCAGGTCCCAGAGGAGACGAATGATGGAAAGAGTTCTAAAAGAGAGGAAGCTGGTTCTCCTCCGATCTCATGATCCCAAGATACCCTTCCTCCGTCCCTTGCACCTGACTGCTGACCCAGTATCTTACTTACTGTTCTATTGCTGCAAAGAGACACCATGGCCAAAACATTTTATAAAAGAAAGCACCTAATTTGGGGCTTGCTTGCAGTCTCAGACTATCACTCCATGTGATAGCCATGCACACAGAGCTGCATTCTGCACAGGGGCTTATGGGTATTCCTGTGTGTGGAATCTGAGGAGCAGGCAGGCACAGGACACCATCAACCCCTGTCCTGGGAACTGGTGTTCTCTATAGAGTGTGGAGGATGGGAGATGAATGAGGAAAACAAAAAGTGAATGTGTAGAACTAAAGCAGTCAGCCTCGCACTCCCAGGTTTGATATCTCTCAGTGCAACCAACCACACAGTGGAAACACTAGAAAATGCTGTATCTGCACTGACCATGTGCAGACATTTTGCTTGCAGCCATGCCCTAAACAATACAGTATATCAGTTCTCTCCATAGCATCTGTATTCCGTTTGGTGGTGGGATCTGGAGAGGACCCCATATATCCAGGAGATGTGAGCAGGTCCTCTGCAAATATCACACCATGTTCCATAAGGAACTTGGACGACCCAGACTTGAGGCTCCCCACCACTGACCCTGACCACATCCCCATGAATACCAAGGAATGAGAGTACATTGTTGAAAATGGAGTGAGGAGAAGGCCCTGGGTGCTGAGGAAGCAGGGTGCCAGCAAAGTACTCAGGGGACATCAGTCTAAGAAGGAGTCAATTGAACAAGTTTTTGATTGGAGTGATGGAGTGATGGGGGGAGTAAAGCCAGAGGTGTAAAGATGGGCTGTGTTCTCTGGATATGAAGGGAAGGATGTTTTGGAAGGGGATGTGCATAGTGACCAGACTGACAAAGACATCATGAGAAGTCAGGTGTCTCTCAGTGGTGACAAATGGTGGGGGTGGAGGGTCATGGGAACTGAAGGGAGCAAGAGAGGGAGAGAGGGAGAGAGGGAGAGAGGGAGAGAGGGAGAGAGAGGGAGGACTTACTCGGCTATCTCATATTGTGAGGGCAGGGGTGAAGTTGGTTTCTCTCGTGTCTAGCCACAGGTGAGTAGAGATAATCCCTCCAGCACACACACACACACGCACACACGCACACACACGCACACGCACGCATGCTTGGGTTCAGGAAAGAAAATGAACAAATTTCCAATGACTTGCCCAAGTATCCGAATGTTCTCAAAGACATTCTTTACAGTAAACAGACAGTGATGGGCCAGCGTAGCCTCTATTACCATGGAATGTCCATCAGTCTCCAAGCAGAAGGATATTCTGACACAGGGTGCACATAGAGAACCCAGAAGTCACTATGCTAAGTGAAATACTGAATCATCTGTGGAGGAGAAGCCCCACAAAGGTGGGACAGGGGCTGCAGGGAGGGGAAGCAAGGACTCATGTCTCTAGTTGGAAAGAGGAAAGGCTCTGGAGGTGGGTGGTACTGATGGCTACACAGCAAAGAATGTCTCTGATATCACTAAATTTGGCAACATTTAATTTAAATGAGTCAAAAGGGATGTTTTCTGTCATATACAGTGCATCAAATATTAATTTGCTTGTTGGGCTTCAGTCCCTAGGACCTCACTCATGTTCCACAAAGCACCCTGTTGCTAACCTGCACTCCCAGGCTTTGGTTCACAAATTTAAAAGGCAAAAAACCAAAAAGCTCCTTCTTTTAAAAAAAATGCAAAATAAATTTTCATCTGTTTATTTCATGTATGGGGGGGTGCTTATGTGTGAAGCCAAGAGGACAACTTGTGTAAATTTGTTCTCTCCTTCCACCGTGTGGATCCTGGGAATAGAGCTCAGCTTGTCAGGCTTGGTGGCAAGCACCTTTATCTGCTGAGAAAAATTAAAAGTTTTCTAAGCAATTTTCTCAAAGTCAGGCATGCAGAATATCCCTCAAAGCTGCTTTCAGACATCTTACCTTTGACACTGGGCTCTGTCTCTCTCTAGCAGGGCATGGGGTGCCTGGAAAATTCACCTTGCCTCTCTAAGCCTGTTTGTCCACACCTATAGAGTTGTGGTGCTGGGGAGAAGATCAACGACATCCTCAATTTGATGCCTAGCACAGAGCTAACCCTTTGCCATTTGTCAGTTAATTTGCTATCCCCGTGCCAGCATAGCTGGGCTTTGACAGACATGGCCTGTTCCAGCACTCATGAGCTGTGTGACCTTGGGCTGACCTTTAAATTTCCCATAGCTTAGTTCCCACCTGTAGAAAGGGACTGGTAATCCCTGCCCCACAGGGCTGATGTAGGACTTGGTAGGACCATGTACAAAGCCCCCAAGGCAGGACCTGTAGGCTGTGGTCTCTGGTATTAGTTGTCATTGTGTGAGCACAAAGTCACAGATAGTCAGGAAGAAAATTAGCATGGCAACATGACATGGCATCTCTGGCTGTTATATAATTCATTTCCACATCTACTTCATGTCACAGGCAGAAAAGACTCAGAGCTGATCTTCAGAGTCCTGAAATTATCCCTGCTCATGTCTGAAATATGCATATTTTTGCAAAGAGACAGGCACATATCATGCCTAAGTAATGTGTACCGAGCCACTGTCCTAGGCTGAGCCCCTTGCTCCATCCTGAGGGTTAGAGATGACCCCAAACCACATGCTGTCTACAAAGAGCTGATCATGGCCCATGGGAGAGCTGAGGATGCTGTCACAGCAAATTTAATAAGATCTGGCAACCAGAGTTTCCCTTGAGCCCTGAATCCTACATGCCAAGTCACCTTGAACAAGTCGAGTTCCTTCTCCAAAGCTCAGTCCTTGTCTGCAAACAGAACAAGAGTGTTGAACTTGGAATTCCCTGTGCCCAGATCCTTTTTTTTCCCTCTTGGAAAGCAGACTTCAGGGTGTCAAATGACCAGGGAAGTTATATTGTGTGCATGTCCCTCTGCACCACTCACAGTTGACCTTGGGATCTTATCTGTCAGCCAGAATAGGCTTGACCCCATGCATTTGGGGATCACAGCATCAGAATGCCCAGGAAGAGAAAGGTTGTACCAGGAGGGTCCAGGTAGAACACAGGATGCTGAGAACTGGAAAGGGAAACAAGAGCAGAGATACAGGGCAGTGCTCTCCTGGTGATACAACTGGAGAAAGACTGATGGTTCACAGCCACAGCAGTCACAAGTCAGCAGGGGACCTGGGTAGCAGAAAGCAGGACCCATGTCAGGCCCCCTGATTCCCAAGCAGTTGAGGCCTGACTCCCAAAGGGCATATCAGACAGCTGCCATGGTAAAAGTCAGCTGTCCTGGGAAGATAAGA